TGCTGGAAGAAATCTAATTTTTAATGGGATGAGAAGAGGGAGAGAGAAGGGAGCGGGTGAGAATTCCAGGAGAGGCCATCTTCAGAGCATCTCTTCCCAAAGGGTCTGTGCATGTCAGAGCGCTTTAGTGCAAAGTTGCTGCCATCTCGTGGCCGATTGTTACAAGTTCAGCATTATCTTCGGTGCGGACCTGTGGGGCCAAGGGCAACCCAGAAAAGAAGGAGGGATTAGGAAACTAGAAGGCAGATGGGAAAATTTATGAGCCCCTCTCCCCAGACCCGGGAGCCCCAGTCTAGGGCAGAACAGGGCCCCAACACTGCTCACTTCGGCATCAGTGGCCTCCTCGGGAGGCTGGCTCTCTTTGCCTGATCCCTTGTGTCTGGTTGGCGTTGTCCCTTGATGTTTCCCTTCTGATTATTAGCAGACTTTATTGCCCGTGCTTGGGTATATGATTTCTTCTTTGAAGATCCAACAAGCTTTTAATTAGATACGCAACAGGAAGAGATATTAAGCTATATTAATGCGTCTGAAAGCCCAGCACAGTTAAAAGGAAGATCATCTCATAGATAAAGCACTGTTGAAAATTACGGGAGTTGCTTCCAGCAAGCAACGGAGAGCTCCAGGGAGGGTCAATCGTTACTTAACATTTGCAGCAAAGCGCAGCCTGTGATGAGCCCTCTGCTGCTCAATTTTGCGTGAAGCAAACAACAGAAACTGCGAGTTCCATGTCAAATCCTAAATCAGCTTCATTTTTAACGACCCCAGTCACGTAACAATGAATTTAATAAAACTTAGACTCTCAAGTAATTACGGCACTACAAGTTTGAAAAGAAGGGTCTCCGGGATACTTTCCTTTCCAAGGATGTCATAAAAATGCCCGTGCCTCAGACACACTCTTTGCCGAACCCACTGGGGGTATTCCCTCCCCCTGCTTCATCTTTGAGCGAGGCTGCCTAATGACATGTTTCTGTTAATTAAATACAGTACAGGCCATTTTCTTACTGAGCCTGGGCCTCACGCAGGCTTAGCTTGAAGGTTTCTGTCCTCCAGGATCTTCAACAGCTGCTGAGGAGATGCCCTGGGCCACCCTGGACCAGCAGAGATGTGACATGCTCAGCCAAGATCATCGAAGCCACCCACAGCTACTCAAGAGGATCTGGCAAAGCCCAGCAGAGTGTCCCTGCTATTCCCAGGCCCAGAAGTCAGTCTTGGGGCCAGTGAGCTAAGAAAATGAGGGTGATTTTATGACCCTGGGTTTTGAAGTACTTTGCAATAAAGCAACTGCTAATGGAGCCATATTGAGTTGCTTTAATCTTAGCTAACATTTCAGGATTCAGAATTCTTATGTACACATAACAAACTATCTAGGTCATAAGACCCAATTCTAAACACAGAAGACATGTGTGTTTTCGTATGCATCTGGTATATAAAACCCAAATAATACTCTTTGCTCCTTTTCTTAATTCTTAAATTTTAAATCATTTACTGGGGGAGGGGGTGCTGGTATGAGAAGATAACTAGCTGGAGCTGGTTTTCTCCTTCCACCATGTGGTGCCTGGGGATTGAACTAAGATTCTTGGGCTTGATGGCAGGCACCTTTCCCTGCTGAGCCATCTCACTAACACCTCTCACTAACTGTATTTGAGGGAAGGTAAATTTATGCAATATTTTCAGTAATTTGGCATGACGTTGGCAATTTAATTTCTTCAGATTAAGGTGGGGAGCATTTCTGCTTTAAGAATATTGAGCCTGTATAATCAATACGGAAG